TTGCTTAAGGATTTGCTGATGTTCTTCAGATCTAACTGCAGGATATTTCCAATAACTGGGAGAGGAGTGGGGCCAGGCGGGAGGTTCCCCTTCCCAGAGTTCTGTTTCCACAGTGAAAGGAGAAGCAAACAGGAGAGGCAGAGCACCAGGAAGACAAGTGGATCCATTGCGGCTTTCTCTTAGACAACTGGGAGCTTAAAACACAAACTACTATGACACTCCCTGCTATTCAACATGTGCCCCTTTGACTCCTAAGGTGATAAACCAGTTAGCTAGATCTATATACTTTAATCTCTTTTTGTAAGAAAAGTTGCCTCCCTGTTCTTTCTTTACAATGCTGCACTTTGGAGATTCTGGTTTAACAGGTTTGGAGTGGGACAGGAACTATTAATTTGTTGTAAACACCCGACATAGGTGAAACCAGGAAGTAAATGATTTGATTAAGAAAATTGCTAAACATTCTGGATTCTTAGATTAATGACCAGTTGAGCAGTTACGACTTTACGGGTGGTGACCCTTGTATATAAATGTTTATCCTTTAATGGTTTATCAAACAGCACTCTACTTTGCCTTTGAAAATGAAAGTCTTTTGAAATATTTTATGCTACTGTACTAACATTATAGCTAGCTTAACATTAACTAGGAAACAACTCATTAATCTTGAATGTCCAAATATGCATCAAGTAATTAGCTAAGTAAAGTTATACTTTTTTTTTTTTTTTTTTAGCTGAGTCATCCTGTCACCTGTTGGCAGCTCAGTGGCAGCTTTGCTAGGGCCAGGATCAAACCGGCGAACCTGTTGCTCAGAGCTCCAACTCTTGAGCGAGCTCTTAATCAACTGAGCCACTTGGCCAACCCTAATTTATACTTTTTAATATCAAACTCTCCACCCACAAAAAAAAAATTGAAAAAAAATTATTAACTTTTATTTTCTAAATGAAGAAAGGGAAACTCAGAGAGAACAGGACACCCATCCAGTGTCACACAGCTCATAAGTGCTAAAATTAGGATTTGAACTTATATTTTCTAATGCCCATTGTGGTGCACTATAGCTTACAACACAGCTGCCTCGAGCACAATTTTAGGAAAACAAAACCAAATCCCAAAACATTTATTTCTCTGAATGTGCACCCCACTGACTGGTCACAAAATAAGAGGCTTCACGTTAAGTAGAAGCCCTTATTTGACTCCAAGGGTAAAAGGGCCATCGGTTCTCAAGAGAAGAAATGAAAGATGGACATGGGCCCTGTCCGTCATTGCAGGGGTGACACTTGTGCAGGTCCCTGAGGGAGGAGCCCTCTCAGAGAGAGTAAGGGGGAGGGCTGGAAAATCCAGGGCTTTCTCCACCTGCCTGTCACCTCCAAAGCAGCTGCTTCTGTTGCTTTTCCAGCCTGTTGTTGTCAGAAATAATAGAATGAAGAATGCACAGCAAGGAAGGGCAGTTTCAGACAGGACAACAGGCATGCATTCTGTGGAGGACGGAAGACAGGGACTTCATGGAACAAACTCATAGCAGAGAACCAGCATAACATGCAGACTTGAACATGAGACAACACCTAGTGGTTGTGAGGCTCCAAATATCACTGGAATGATATACAATACTATATCACTAATAGTAATGCTTGTACAGACATATTCTGTAAAGATAGATCACATCGGTGCTAAATTGATTAGTGCCGCTGTTTCTAAGCTCTTTTGGTAAGGAAAATTCAGACTTGTCAAGACCCCATTTATAACATACAGTTTATCCTTCATGTTTACAGGGAGACTGACACTCGCTTACCTTTGCCTAAGGTAGAATGATGATTATTTTAATGATGAGGCAGCTGTCCTGGAAGTTTCAGCACCTAGGTCAAGGACACACAGACTGCCGGGGTGGAGCTCAGGCCCACATCCCCTGAGCTGTGCATCTTCCTTACACGAAAAACATTCAGTTCAAGCAAGTTCCCCGGCACTTACCGAGTGTGTACTATGATTCGGTATTCTGTGACTTACCTTAATCAGTGACTATCAAATAAACTTTGAGTCAATATTGCAGCACAGGTTGAGTGAAACAGGGGTCATAAAAGTTTAGTTATGTAACCTTTAGAACTTGAGTGCGTCCAGGTGTAGGTAAACCGTTTATCCAGGGCAAAGAGCAGCATTAGTGTACTGCATAACACACAGCTCTGAAAGACCTGTGCTACCTTACGTTGAATAAAATGAACTCAATGGTTCTCTTTAAAACAACATTTTACTCCTTGACAGACGGGTGTCCTGCTCGGCTCCTCCTTCCTCTTGCTGAGGCTTCTGTCTGGCCCTTTCTCTTTTGTAGAATGGAAGAGTCATAGATGGTTAGAGACAGAAAGGATCAGAGATCTGTAGTCGAATCCCTATGTTAGTGTTTGGAATGAGGACAATTCGGTGACTCAGTGAGGTGCATGGTCATGAACTTATCAGTCCAAGGCCCTGTCTTTGAATCCAGCTTTCTACTTCCAAGTTCAGTGACTCTCAGATGGAAGGGACTTGTCAGATGGATGGCCAGGCGGGCATCAGCGTGAAGTCCTCCATATGAGAGAGGACTGCAAACTTCAGCTAGGGTAGAGCTCTGAATTTGAACTTTTCTTTTTGAATAAAGCTTTTCAGTGTAGCAAAATATACAGAGAGAAAGTCCAAATGTCCGGCTCAATGAATTATCACCTGCACATACACCTTGTAAAGGAGACGCTTGTCAAGAAAAATAGTTTTACCAGGTCTCTAAAAGGCCCCTTTATCTCCTCATAGTCAGTACCTTCCCAAGTCCTAAATGTATTTAGTATCACATCATGGGTTAGGTTTGCCTGTTTGTAAATTTTGTATGAATGAAATCATACATTATGTCTTTTTGTGGTATCTAGTTCCTTCACTCCACGTTGTGTTAGTGAAATTCATTCCTGATGTAAAATTATGCTTTCTGTGTAGTTGTCTATCTTATAACTATTACATCATTTATACTTTTCATTGCATTGCTATGGAAAGATGTGTTGATTCCAGTTTGTGGCTATTCTGAATAGTGCTGGTATTAACATTCCTATACATGTCTCTTTTGTATCCCAAGGTATTGGATTTCTCTTCAGTATATACTTAGAGGTGTGATTGCTGGATATGCATGTGTACTCAGCTTTAGTCAAAACTGCTAAAGAATTATCCACATGGTTGAACCAATGAAGTTTTACTATGAGTATCAGTTGCTTTGCTTTGTTGCAAACACTATCTATATTGTCCTTTTGCATTTTAACCATTCTGTGTAGTAATATCTCATTGTAGTTTTAATTTATGTTTCCATGAAGCTTATTGATGCTGAGCATTTTTTTCAGATATCCATTGGCAGTATCAATTCTTCTGTGAAGGGTTTGTATAGCTTATATATGAGACAGTTGTTGTTTCATATATATGATATGTTCATGTATATTATTTTCAACAATCCTAGGTATGTAGAAAAGTTGGAAGAATTTGACAACAAGAATGTACAAAAAATTTTCTATATTTTAAACATTTGTGAGTAAATTGCTGACCTGAAGTTCTCTACCTGAAATATTGTTATGTATTTCCCCAAAACAAGGGCTGGCCAAGTGTCTCAGTTGGTTAAGAGCTCGCTCAAGAGTTTGAGCTCTGAGCAACAGCGGTTTGAGTCCCTGCCCGAGCTGAGCTGCCACTGAGCTGCCAACAGGTGGCAGGATGGCTCAGCTAAAAAAACAAAACAAAACAACAACAATGTGATTCTCTTATATACACATAATGCAACCATCAAAATGAGGGAATTAGCATTGATGCACTAAGACCACTGAATCCTCATTTCTATTAATGTTTCTCCAAAAGTACCTGTTTTATCCCTTATATCCAGTTCAGAATCCATTTCAGATTCCTGGACTTACATGGTGCTATTAATCGTCATGTCTCCATTGTCAACTTCAGCCTAGAACAGTTCGTCAGTCTTTCTTGGACTCTTGACCTTGCCACCCTTGAAGAATATAAGCCACATATTTGGAAAATGTCACTCAGTGAATTTATCTGATTTTTCCTTGTCATTTAAGTTAGGTTATGGATATCTGACAGTAATATTACAGAATGATGTTTTTATTACCTTTTTATAAAGGCCTCACATATCTATTACTGAACAAATCTACTGGTGTAGAAACATATTAACAAAGAAAAAAAATCATTGTTCCAATAATTTCCCAATAAAACACACCCCACTGTGCCAATAGTAGTGATCTTTTCAGTGATATGTTAAGAAGCAAGCAACCCGAATACAGCATAAATATGTGTGTCATCTCATGTGCAATTCCTTATAAACCTCGCTTGGTTCTTCTCCAATGTCTCCTCTTGGAGTTGTACCTAATTTTATTAGCAGTTTTCCTCTGAGTCCACTGGGGAACGTGCCAATTGTGCTTTTGTTTCTAGGCCAGGAACCACTTGTTCCTGAAAGTCTTATAAAACAACATGGCAAGGAAGAGTCAACGGCATGCACCACCATTTTAAATCATTATGTTTCT